CATAATAGGGTGCTAGAACTAGACACAGAGATGGGCCTTAAATTATTGAGGCATTCCTATGTGGGATACATGTCCTCGCCACTGTACCAGATACGTGACCCTTGTTGCTTGTTTGGTGTTCAGGTTGTCCCCAGTTTCGTCAAGAACTCATTTAACCTGGCCTGTGTGTCTATAGTGCATCATTCCTTGGGCATTGCTTTCTGTAAAACACAACTGTGTGCTTCAAGGTCATTTTCTTCCAGAGATCCTGAATCAGGAATTTCTTTGTTTTAGTACAGAATAGCATTCAGAAGGAAGACCTAGACACTACATGTATAGATGTTACTGCTTCCAGATTTCCTGTTTGAACAGAGCAATGGAAAATGACATTAAAATGCACAACAACATTTTGGATATTATAAAGAGAATGCATATAATGAAAAATGTGAAAATGAACCCATGTTTTGATTCTATATTCCATGAACTAAGTACGCTTAGGTATACAAGCATATTCCAAAAATATGTGCCGTTTTTCAGATATCTTTATTTGTAGTTTGCTATTAGAATCTAGGAACTCATATAGAGGGTGTTAACTTCCCATTCTTGTATCACAGGTCTTATTTTTTCTTTTCTACTTCAGTACCTTCCATTGAGCTCTGATAACTTGCCAGTGCAGCCGTCCTATCTGATGTGTCTGCTTCCCTTGTCTTTGTCAGTTGCTTTCAGATTCAATTATGTATAGAGGTTTAGGAAAGAGGACCCCTATTCTATGTGAATTTGTATTTTGATTCAAACGTGGGGGAAAAAAAACTGATTACTGTTGACACATAAGATTGTTGATACCCTGAGCTCAGGAGTTTTAGACTGTTACCTGAGATTGTAGCAAATCGAGTCTTTGAAGTGAGTGGTGAAAACAGGTTTGTTGTAACTCCTGGCCTTGGGACCAAGTTGCGAAAGAGTCCTTTAGGATTTGCATGTTCGTTTTTACAAAAAAAAAATAATAATAATTCTTAGCAGCATTACACTTAAAGTTAGATGGTACAGTTCTGTTTCCTCCAGTTTGTGTATGCATAAGGATGTTGACCGGCAAACTGATGATTTGAAATAGTTAGACAGTTGTTCCTTGGTTTATTACCAAGTACAGAATTTGATTCTAATGGTTTCCTAATTTTATTTGATTATGTTTTCTCACAATTAGGTTTCAATTGCTAGCTGATTGCAGTTGTAAGAGTCTCTTGATTATGAAATGTGTTGTGATTGAGACATGGTTATAATACATCTGGAATAATGTGTGTCTTAAACGTTTTTCAGAAACTGTTCTGACTTAGAGATTTCCCCAAATCTGGCTCTCTTAAATTGAACTATTCTGCTAAGTAAAATAAGCCAATGCCAAAAAGACAGATATAGTTTTCTCTGATATGTATTAATTAATATAGAATACAAGACAAAAATGTATATAGGAACAAAATGGGCATAGTGAGGTTGCTGGTTTATTTTTTTACTGGTTGAATATTATGGCTAGTAGTATACTGAGCTTGTGATTCAAGAGTGGGCTGAGATTATGTTTTTTTCAAAAATTTAAAGGAATAAGGAGGATTGAGGTAGGGGAGGAAAGTAAATGTGGTTATTTTCAAAGAATTATACCTGTAAAATACATGAAGTGTGTTCTCTGTATAATTACAAATTTGAAAAATACATATATATAAAGAAAAAATAAAATGAGCCAAAGATCACTACCTTTATTTGCCCAGTTCTTTCTCTGGCTGGCCTCATTTAAAGTCTCTGCCAGAACCTTCCAACTGAAAACTACCAGGACTACACTTTGGGTTAACAAGGTAATTTTAGTACCTTTTGGGGTGTGGGAGAATAGACTGCTAAACTTTGTTATAGAATTTGAAATTCTATCAGGCAGTTTTGAGGAGGGATTGAGGAAGCACAGCTTCTAAGTTGAGTGCTTCCTAGAATCAGAGACAGTTCTGTGGTTAGATATCCTAACCTTATCAAATGCAGTGAAGACTCACCTAGGGATATAAGAGTAAAATTTTAAAAATGACAATCACTCCTATTGGGGTTTGGATATTTGATAGTTTTTGTTGTTCCCACAGAGTTCTGTGTTTGTATTGTGACTCAATCACATTGTTTTATTTTTGTTTGGGGGGGAGAGTGATTGAGCATGAGTGTGTGAGCAAGCTCTGCATGCCGTTTACAGCTTCATTCCCCAAACATCCACCATGTCCAGAGCTGTCCAGGTCTCCCATGTGGGTTGCAGGAACTCAGCTACTTGAACCATCACCACCATCTGTGAGGGTCTGCAGTGGCAGGAAGCTGGACACGAGAAGTTAGAGCTGGGAGTTGAGACCATGTAATTTTTTACTTTTAAAATTTAACTTATTTTTATTGGAAAGTCAGATTTACAGAGAGAAAGAGAGACAGAGAGAAAGATGTTCCATCTGCTGGATGACCACAACAACTGGAGCTCAGCTGATCTGAAACCAGAGGCTTCTTCCAGGTCTCCCATGCGGGTGCATGGTCTCAAGGCTTTGAACCGTCCTCTACTGCTTTCTCAGGCCTCAGGCAGGGAGCTGGAAGAGAGGTGGAGCAGCCAAGACATGAACTGGCACCCATATGGGCTCTCTGTGCAAGCAAAGTGAGACTTTTGTTGCTATGCTACCACACTGGGCTGAACCTATGTAATTTGACATGGATGCGGGAATTTTACCAAGGTCTTAATGGCTAGGCCAAATACCTTCGCTGTTTTCTGAAACTTCCTGGTCACAGAGGGTCTTGGTTTCGTATTGATGTTTTGTGAAAATGTTTATATTCAGCAAAGAACAGCAAGACCTGGATGTGGGCTCCAGGAGAGAGGTGTTAAGAACAGGACCTCGATGAGAGTTACCAGGCAGTTCCTGGATGGTAGAGGAATGCATTCTTCCTTCTCAGGTTTCTTCTTTATTTCTGTGTCCCTCGTGGCAGTTTGTTCACATCATTTTGACTTCTTACAGGTGCTCCCAGCCTATCATGCTTGTAGTTTGGAGCTCAGATCCCAAGCACCAGAACTCTCACAGTACACAGATTCCAGGATCCTATTTCTCAGCTTGGCATATTCTACTTGTTTGCTTTTCTATGTTTGCCCTTTCTTTGTATCTAAATGGAATCAGAATGGGATGTTAGCCTATATTTATCCCTCATATCAACTTGATGCCCTGTTAGAATACTGCTTTCTGGATGTCAGTGCACAAATGCACTTGTTTATTCTGTGTGCTTAGTATGCCATCTTGTTGGATTCCAGTGACTTGCAGTCCCTGTGTCACATGTGTTCTGTACATTTGGCATTGGAAAGTGAGTGGCCTTTCTGTTTCTTTAGTTCTTACACCTAATATAAACTGAATGATAATGTATTCCCATGTCTTGATTTTGCTTTTAAATTTTTGTGTTTTTTTTAAAGTAAAACATTTTTATTAATATAATGAGAAAGTTTTATGTATTTCATGGTTACAATTCTATGGAAATTGTACCTTGTTTATTTTCCTCCCTTCCTCCCTCCCTTTATTCCTTCTTTTCTTTTTTTCTTTAATTTTTGCAAAAGAATGATTTTTATGGCTGAGTAATATTCAATAGTGTGTGTGTATATATATATATTTTTTTTTTTTCCTGGTCATTAGCTGAGGGATGTTTGGGTTGATATCATGTCTTAGCTATTGTGAATTGAGTTGCAATAAACATGGGGGTAGAAATATCTCTTTAGTGTGTTTATTTCATTTCTCTTAGGTGAATTCCCAGGAGTGGGCTGGCTGGGTCCTGTGTTACACCTAATTTTAGATTTCTGAAAAATCTGCAACATGATTGTAATAGCTTACATTTCCACCAACCATGGATTAGGGTACTTTTTTCTGCATATCTTTGCAATCATTTATTGGATTTTGATTTTGGGATGATGGCCATTCATCTGGGGAGAGGGGAAACCTCATTGTGGTTTTTTTTTCCATGTCCCTGATGGCCAGTGGTCCTGAGCACTTTCTCTTGTGCTTTTATCCTTTGAGAAATGCCAGTTCATGTCCTGTGTTAGGTTTTCTAGTTACCATAGAGTTTCCATGAGTAGAAAAACTTGATGGCTGCATCTTCAAAAAACCTTTAGAAGTTAGAAGAACTGTTAAGCATCAGTTAAATACAGTCTGCCAAATACAGTCACAAGTTAAGTATATAATTACAGTGAGAAGACAAATGAGAGAGTAAATTCTGCTTGAATTGTTAAAGAAATATTTTCCAGCTCTTCACTGGGTATTTTGCCAGAGCAGACTGGATAGTCATTATATAATATACATTATTTGATGGCAGAATAAGAGTTTTTTAAACAGAGATATGTTCATTTAAAGCTGTTTCTTTTTTATTTGAAATGCAGAGTTACAAAAGTGTGCAAGACAGAGAGAGAGAGAGAGAGAGAGAGAGAGAGAGAGAGAGAGAGAGAGAGAGAAAGCGATTTTTTATCCATTGATTCACTCCCTAGTTGGCTAAGACTGGGCCAGGCTGAAGTGGGAGCCAGAAACCCCATCCTGTTCTCCATCATAGGTGGCAGGACCCAAGTATTTGGACTATCTTCCCATTCTGCCTTGTGGATTTGCAAGGAACTAAATTTAAAGTGCAGCTGCTAACACTAGAACCTGCCCTCTCTTGCAGAGAGTGGCCTAACCAGCTGCAACTTACTGCTGGTCCCTTTGCTTTATTTAAAAGAACGCTTCTGCTTATAAATTTTTGTCGACATTTGGTGTTGAATAGGATTATGAGCTTGATTTTCTGCGTCAGAGTTTACTCCACGAAAGCTTGCTTGATATGCTTGATCTTGTAACTGAGATTTATACACAAAATTCAAGAAAAATATTAGTTGTTTGAATTTTTATGTTTTATAAATAATAATTTTATAATATGCATTGTAATGTATTTTTGTTCATAGTATGAAGAAATTTCTTTTGTTTGAATCTGTGTATCTGTAACAATTTTTGTAAATGGTTATTTTTCTTTTGTAGGCACTGGATCTTCTAATGCAAAATTGCCTTCAGTTCCAACAGTTGGGTCAGTTCCACAAGACCCAGCTTCAAATATGAGGTATTTTAGTTACTAACTTGGGTATTTTTTAAAAGCCTGTTAAACAAGCTGTGTTTCATCTGTGCCTTTCTGGTTGCTTTATCTCTCCCTGTCTGCCCTGCTTTTATTTTCCTCTCCCTTTTCCTTCTACCTTCATGCCTTGCCTTCTTTCCTTCTTGTTTTTTCTGTTACATTTGAATATCTGACATTTAATGGCCTGGGAGTATTTTCCAAGTTCATTTAACTTCAAAAGCTTACGAAAATTATAGGTACATGATAGTAAGTGTCTGTGACTTACATTTCATGTGATTTGAAATTACATATTTGGATTTCTTTGTTTCTGTTCTGTAAAAATTACAGTAGGGTGATAGCCAGTCAACTAAAGTCTTAATGAAACCATGGCACCTGATGTGCCACTACTAGAGTTCTTGTTCTTCTGGCTGTCAGGTCTGAGGGCTACTTGAATCTATCTTGGGTGGAACCTGTAGGATGCCATGGTGTTACAGTTCACTGAACCAGAAATGTGCTCACTCCCAGCTCAGCGCATGCGCAATACTGTCCATAGCCTTTGTCTCCCTATACAAAATGGCCCCAGATTCGGCTCTAGAGGTTGAACTAGGGTCTGAAATCTACCCTGTTCCCACACTGTCCGTCTGGGACCTGCCGCTCTGTTTCTGCTCCTGACCAAATCAAACAGAGCAGCAGTTCTTTGTCTGTGTTAACCTCCAGAGCTCCTGGTGAACGCCCTTCCCCATGTTGTTGCTAGTGGGGTTCTGGCTGCTGGTGCAGTTCGGATCTCTGCTTGCTGAATGCTGCTGGGGTATCAGTCACTGCAACACCACACTCTTGTATCTGCTGCTTTCCTGTGTCTGTCAGTCTCCAGGTACCCTTCTGCTGACCATCTGTCCTCTCCTGTTTCCTGGAATGTGCCCTCTCTGCTTCACCCTGGCTAATGTTTCTCCATCTGTTTAAATGTGTCCTTGCCCTATTGCGCCAACTTGATTCTTTCGAATATGTTTGATTTCTAAGGCAGAAGCTAAAGCTGATAACGTCTGATTTTTAGAACACTTACTCAAAACTCATGTGAGTTAAAAAATGAATATATATTTTAAAAAATGAATATATATTTACCTATATTACAAAAATTATGGTGTTAATAGGTAACTTGAATAATTATTCATATACCTACACAGTGTAATTAAATGGAAAATTATTTAGATTGCAGGAATAAGAAGTGGTTCTAGGAATCATCAGCAACAACAAAAAGAATATAATAAATTACTTCCTTCATTCCACAAACCTTTTTTTGAATCTGTACTGTATGCCATAGCTGAGAACTTGGAAATGAGATCATCTTTCAGCTTAGGTATTTAGTGGCTTAGTGCATATAGACACATTTCCTGTGGGGCTGAGTTAGTTAACATAATAATGAGACTAAAGACCAAGTGCTGTGTGTTGGCAAGTTAACATTCAGTGAGAACTGATATTGGAATGGTGGTTACCAGGCCGTGTGGCAGAGTTGCAGTTCCCAGATAGATTGGGGTCCAAAGTGGCTACTCCAGGGAAAATCAGTGCTCTGGGTGTCAGGAATGCTTCTCTAGGTCAGTATTTATTTTTCACCTAATTTTGCTGAAAGAACAGCATTAGTTTTACGGAGGGTTGGTACATACCATGGAATCTTCAGATAACGTCACATGTTTCCCTTAGTATTACAGAAAGGCTTGAGCATGCTTTGGAAAAGGCCGCTCCTCTTCTGCGGGAAATTTTTGTGGATTTTGCACCTTTTCTTTCTCGGACCCTGTTGGGCAGCCATGGTCAAGAACTGCTTATAGAAGGAACAAGTAAGTGATTTTTAAAATTTCATTTATGTGTGTTTGCAGTTCAGTTTTAGAAACTTAACTGAATAATAAGTGATACATGGAGTTTTATTGTTCACATGTTTGTAACTTCTGACAAGACTTCTCATTGAAGATCTTCTGATACCATTTGTCTCTATTATGTTTTCATCTGTTCAAGATTTTTATCAGTGATTTGGGTGGAGTAGAAAACTGTGTTTTGAAGAAAAGACACTTTTTAAACACAGCAGTGTTAACTGTGAAAGGATTTTGTTTGAACTTGTCAAGAGGCATACATTATCACATGTGTAGATAATTCAAATATATAATTAGTTTCCATGAGTGCAATTCTGTTTTGCCAACAAGTAGCGATTTCAGTGTTACTGTTCTGTATCTGCTTATGGTGGTGTAGACTCTTCTCTAGGTAGTGCTATACTGTGAGATTGTGTTACATTACATAGCATGTAGCAGAGCTCTCCGAGGGGATGAGAACCCTTGCTGTTTGTGAGACAGTGCGGAATAATGGCAGCGTGGCAGTTATGTGCAGTTTTACTTTACTTGATGATGTCGGGGATAGGGGACAGAGCATCAGCTGTGCTGACGTGTTGGAGAAGGTGATTCGGTAAAGCTTCAACTATGAAATAATAGTTGTTAGCCTTTTACTGGCAACAATGATCTGAGCACTTAATTCACAGATAAGCATGGCTTTAAAATGGTTTTTTTCCTGAATCTTCCCATCTTGTTAGGTAGCAGGTATCTCCTTGTTTCTACTCTTTATCATGGAAAATAAAATTGGAATGAATAAATATTAATGTATTTGAGCATATACAATGATTTTCTTAAGTATGTAGGGATTAAAATATTCTTGTTTTGAAAATTTATAATTTTTTCATGTATTTTAGAGACACAGAGATCTACCATTCAATACTTCATTCCCCAAATTCCCAAAATGTCCAGTAGTATGACTGGCAGAACCCAGGAAGCTAGAATTCCAGTCAGGTCTCCCATCTGGGTGGCAAGGGCCCAGGCACTGGGGGACATCTTCCATTGCTTTGCATTAATGGGGAACTGGATTGAAAGTAGAGCAAGCTTGTCTTGAACAGGTGCTCGTATGAGATGGGATGCTGGTGTTGTAAGTCATGGCTTAACCTATTGTGCCAACATGCCTGTGAAGTCTTCTTACGCTGCTTGTGATGGTGGAACAAAGGATTATCTATTTTTTTTTGATTCTTAATTTTATGACACAGTTTAGTTAGCATTGGGTTTTCCCCTTGTGTTATCTGTCTATCTTTCAGGTTTCATGTGGCTCTAGGTTCTTTTCAGTCTCTGTTTTTCATTATCATATGTTAGAAAGATTCAGATGTAGGCACAGTGGTAGGAATTCTGATTTCTGTAGAATGGAGGAATAAGATTTCATGGCTTATGTATAGAGGAATCTGCATTTCCCCGCTGGCACTAATGGGTTTTGAAGTCGGAGTAAAACTGAACATTTTGTATTAGGGTCACTTTTTGTTTTAAGTTACGAGACTTCAGGCCAGAACAGGAGCACACAGCAAAGGAAGAGAGTATTTTTCGCCCATTCCTGTGGTCTTGGCGCAGAAGTGCAGACACATTGGAGTTCATGCTGTGCTTGCTTCATACGACCTGTAGGTGTTCTGCTCATGGCTGCGCTGGTGCTAAACAGCGTTATTAGCGTTTCTGTATAATACACACACTCAACTTGAAATACAGGGTAATTGAAGTTCAGGCAAAATAGTGATAACTAAAATGTGAGAATGCTGAACAACCTGTGCAACTCTAAAAGCAACAAAATTCCAGTGAATGTTACTGTTGGTTTTGAGCCAGGGTTTTTTTGTTTTATTTATTTATTTATTTATTTATTTATTTATTTATTTATTGAGAGGGAAAAGAACTGAAATCAAAAAGAGAAAGAGAATGGATAGGGCACCTACCTGGGAGAGCTTTAAACGATAAAAGAAATAGTGTAAGATTGTAGGCTGCTTAAGGGAACCTAAGCTTGTGTTTACCCAGTAAAATATAGAGTTAAAAATGAGCTTTTCTGAGTTAATAGTGTAATTTAGTAATTTACACCTTTTTGAAAAAATTTATCTTATTTTTATTTGAAAAGTCAGATAAACAGAGAGGAAGATCTTCTGGATCTTTCGCCTGTTGTTTCATTTCCCAAGCAGCCTCAATGGTTGGAGCTGCGCCAATATGAAGCCAGGCCCCAGAGCCTCTTGTTGGTCTCCCACGCGGGTACAGGGTACCGAAGGTTTGGACCATTCTTGACTGCTTTCGCAGGACACAAGCGGGGAGTTGGATGGAAGTGGGGCCACCAGGATATGAACCGGCGCCCATATGGGATCCTGGTGCATGCAAGGCAAGGACTTTTGCCATAAGGCTATCGCGCCAGGCCCTAATTTACTCCTTTCAGTGATTGTCATTGTTTGTAAAGGTACTTGTTATGAAATGCCATGAGAATGAGTATCTTTAAGTCTTATTAGTTACTAAAGATAAAATTTTTAATTGGCATTAACTGTGTGAAAATTCTATTGCAAGGAATTTTTCTGTTGAACCAAAATGAAGCATAAAGGCATAGATTTCTTATAAATTAATTTGTAAGAAATCAAGAATATATAATAGACAACGGCTTGCATTTCTGTTAAGGTTTAGTGTGAGGTCAGAGGTCAGGGTACTAATAAGAGTGTTTGGGATGTCTGCTGCCATGAAACAAAATGGAAACTTGATTGATAGCTAGAGGGTTGAAGGGAGAGAGTGTGGTGGAGAAAGCAAAGGTCAGGGAGCCACTTCCCTTCTCTGCATGTCTAACGATCAACTCTCTGCAAAACAAAATGTAGATGATATTGATCAATATGGCATATGTTGTGCACATTTCTATTAGTATTGTGAAATGTCATTATATATGAAGTTTTAATAAATGTTTCAGTGTTTTAAAGGCTGTAATGAGATAGTTAACCAAAGTGGTAGTAGTTTTCATGCCGAGTTTAAAGTAAATATGAGCATCGTGTGTAATCATGTAATCAAATGTATATGGGTTTAGGGTTCCATTTTCTTTTCTTTTTTTCTTTTTAAGCCAGATGTTAGCATTTTCTTTTAAAAATAAATTTGAGCAGAGTTGAATAGCAAATCCCTCATTTGTTTGTTTAGTTTGTAATTTGTTAAAAAATTTTTTTTAAAATAGGTCTGGTCTGCATGAAATCAAGTAGTTCAGTTGTGGAATTGGTTATGCTACTGTGTTCTCAGGTGAGTACAGAAATAAATGTTTAATTTAAAGTATCCTTATATGAATTTGTTCTTGACAAGGAAGTTATATTGGCACTGTTGGGAATTTTTGCTGTAATAAAGTTTTGTGTTTGTGGTTTTAAATAATCTTATTTGTATTGCAAAAGGATTACTTCTGCCTTTGATAAAAACCTCTGGTTTTGTATATTAGGAAAAGCAAAATATTTTAAGATTTACATTAACATGTGCAGACCAAATTATCATGACATGACTAAATTTTTTGGCTATGTTTATTAATGTTGCAGTAGCAGATTTATTTCGGTACTGTGTGGAGTGCCCCTCTGAGTCCTCCGGGAATCGTGGGTTTACTTCCCTTTGTGCAGAGGTTATAAAATGAGTGATAAATAATTTTGAATCCATGTCATTGTTAATTAATTTTGACATACACAGTAGATTTGGGAAAACATCAACAAAAAATGTGGCAGCCATCGTAATAAGATAAAGAAAATAAATTATTAAGAACAAAATTACTTGCAGGGTTAAAATTGTTGTACTTCTGGTAAACGTCGATGATTTTTTTTTTCTAACCTACATGGAAATTTTCCTGTGATGTTTTCTTCTGTGTTTTGCAGTTAAACAGCTGAATGCTTTTATGGAGAATTTTCTTTATAGTCTTGTAAAAATGGTATCTTACTGGTAGTAAATTCCCCTACTTAAAACTTTAAAATAGCCTTTTTTAATAGGAAAAGTATTGGTCTGGAGGTCAAGGGTTTTGACCCATTTCAAAACCTTTGACCTTCATTTACAACTCTCATGGTTTCCTTGCCTAACAAATAAGGATAATGCAAAATTAATGTTTCTTTGCATCGATTTATTTGTTTTAGTGTCTGTATTTCCAAATTTGTTTGGACTCTGTTGATGGACATTTCATGAATACAAATTAAATAATCATAGAAGGTGTGAAAAATCAATACTATGCATTGTCAGTAAAGTATAATAAGAACAATTATTTCTAGAAATTACACCCAATTGATTTTTTTTATGAACTTGTGAGTTGTTGTGCTTCTTAATGGGCGTATTATTCTTAGATTTGGCAAGAACCATGTTTCAATAATTTAATCATCTCCTTCAGAAAACACTGTTTCCCAAAAATATGTAGAGAAATTTCCTTTCGGATCTTCATAGTGAAATAACTGATTATTTCTTGGGTAACCATTGCTGTGTACTGCTCCGGCGCTTTGTGGAAAATTAGCCTTTTGAAGGAGCTTTCACTTATGGTTCGAGATGTTTCTTCTCAGTGAACTTGTTCTCTGCAGTGATTTGTCCCATAGATATTTTGGTAATGAAGTTTGACTTTCTAGTTTAGGAGAACTGAATGTGTTTTGGGTAGAGGAGAGCTGCTTCAAGTGGATTGCACTGCATATTTGAATGTTAGAAACTATAAAGAATGACATGTCTTAACAAACCTATTTGTCATGTGTGTCACAGTGCTGGTTGATACTTAACTGTTCAAACTGTATGAAGATTGTTTGGTAGAATATGCTTCAAAATTAAAAAAAAAATTCTCAAGGTTTTTGTAAGATAAAATACATTGTTGGGTTTTTGAAGCTCTTCACATTTTTTACGAGTTCTTCAAGAGTTCCATGGCATCTCAGCAAGATGTAGCACAGTGTGAAAAATGATGTGAAAAATGAAGCCAAAATTAGCTCCAGATGTATACAGATTGTTCTGGGGTGATAATTACATTTTTCACTTTGAATTTTCCTAATTCAAAGAGGTCAACTTGGTAATCGCAAAGGTGATTTATTTTCTTCCGAAGTGGACTTTTTCTACATGAAAGCTGAGGAGATATGAAACTGCGTTTCAGGTCCACATTTTGCAGATGCTGGGTGGGGATGGCTTCAGTTTGATTGATAATTCTTTTTTAGGCTCAGATAGGGTGGGAAGTAAAAAGCTACCCTCTTGCTAAAATTTTAATTAATTTTTAAAGATGAGACGGAGAGGATTGAGTGCCAAAGATCAAAAGATCAGGTCAGAAACTCCTTTTTAATCACATAAATAATGGGATATGCTTATGAACTTAACATCTGCAAATTTGATTTAGAACTTTACAAATTAGTTGATGTTAATTTTGTGACACTCCACCACATGCGATTATTTTTCATGAATCTACTGAAAACTCATTTTCTTTTTGCATCATTTTAAACACTGTGTTTACATTTCCTTAGGAGAATTTAGAGCCTAAATTTAAGAAATAAGGAAATGAGCACATTTTGTTTGTTACTAAAAGGCCTAAAAAATCACTAAATATTTATATAAAAATTAAAATATGTTTACATTTTTCAGTCACCCCTTACAGTGCTTAATTGACTAGGCACTATTTCATTTTTGATTCTATTTAAGCTTTTTCATTGTTTGCTAATGATATTGCTGTTTGATTTTGAAGAGCTTCTTTAATATCTTCAGTATATTTTCAAATACAATAAAGATGTACTTAAGGTTTATTATATTTGTTTTTCTATTGAATCATAAAAATAATTTAAAACGTGTGGAAAAATCATATTGATTTAAGTTGTTTTTCTTGAAATAAGAGTGTCCATATCCAGAAATGCATGTTTTTCTGATGCACATAAAAGATTGAACTGTATTTTGGATTTAATATGTCACAAGTGTGCAACTTATTTGTGTTCCATATTTGTTGTACAAGTGTGCAAATCTGGTTGAAAGCTATATTCAAAGAAAACATTAAGTAAGTGTTGCAAGTAATATTACTCTAGTGTTATACAAAGTGTTTGTGTCTTGCTCATTTGACATTAATACCATTTTTGAAAGGATTGACATTTCCTTCAAGGCCACTTTATGAAAGCCTTGCGTTGCTCATCCTAATTCAGTCTGACATACATTCCAATAACACTACCTCCCTTCTTGGGTTTAAAGGTAAATTTATGACTCTGCATTGTGAAGTGCATCATTTAAAAATGGTTTCAACCCAAAACATCTAATAAATAAATAATGTGTATGGCTACTCACTAGTAGACTTTCTAGACTAGAAATCATTCCATCGGATACTCAACAGTCCACTCTTGGAGAGGGCTGTCAGATAAATCTTGCGGTAGCTGCATTCATGTCCTGTAAATCACGTATTATTGTCTGAGCCTTCTGCCAGGTCATCTATTCTTTCCCCATTTATCAGAAATGCATACAGTATTTAGAAAAACTAGAAGCACCATGTAATCTGGCCTCCTGAGTAATTAATTTGTGATAAATATTAACGTAAAATACTTTGTCTGATTTTTCTTTTAAAAAATTTGAATCTACATGCATTGTTGCTATTTGAGGAAATACTTTTTCTCATAAAGATAATGATACAGTGGTGGTCATTTTTGACTTGAGTGTGTCTGTGTCTCAAAATTATTAATTTGAAAATGTTAATATTCACAAGAATCAGCATCACTCTTAGGAATTTTCTGTCAGTTTTGTGTTTAAATTCTTTTTTTCTAAATATTTGTGGCAAAATGTTTGCTTTTCCTTTTAGTCTCTTATACTTTTTCTTTTAAGGTTAGATTTCTTTTTCACTTGAGTTTATCATTTATGAACTTATTGTGTTAATGATGTTGGTCTTGCATTTTTTACTTCGTGAGGTTTTCCTTTTTTATGGAGATGATTGGCATTTTTGTTCAGAGTGGTTATAAAAACATACCACAAAATAAAAGCATCAAGCCAGCTGGCTACTGTGGCCCAAAGATGTTCACCATTAGGTCTTCCTTACTGTCTGAACCAAATTTCCTGCTTCTTAGATTTTAAATAGGTTCTGAAGTCATGCGAGCTCCTTAGAGTTGCCCAAATGTGCCACTGTATTTCTGTGTCTTGGCCCATGCTTTTCCTTTCCCTAAAATGCCTCTCCTGAAATTGGTGACCCTTTCATGTCTGCTTAAGATTCCGAGTTGTTTAGTTACTTTTTTCTCAGATTTCCGGCTGCAGGTCTGCTTGTTCTTCATCTTAAGAGCCATCATAGGATTACCACAGATTATTATACATGTGCATTGTTCTTTTCTTATCTGTAATTAGATTCTCTTTATTTCTAGATTGTATAAGGATAGCATCTATTTTTGCTTTGTCTACCAACCTGTACCAAGGACCTAGCACAGTTCAGGCCCATGATATCTGCTCAGTGAATGCTTACGGACAAAGAAGGTCATTGGGCCTATTCTCTTCTGGAGCTGCAAGCATGATTGAAGTATTACTCAGACAAATCAGACTCATGATAATTTTTTCTGTATTTTCGTTGCTTGATATTTTTTTCCTTATTCTTCCATTTTGGCTGTAAGTTTCTTGAAGGCAAGCACTTTCTCTTTTCTGTTGAGTTGCCATTATTTAGCATACATAATCAACCAAATGATTATGTAATTGTGCAGTTCAGTCAGTGGCGTTGTGGACTTTGACTCTTTGCTTTGTTTCTAGATGAATGTCCTCATGCTCTTTTTGATCTCAAGTCATGTCCTACTGTGTAGGACCTTTATTTCTCCATGTGTTGTGCCTTTGTGATCAGTGCCCACCTCAATCACCCTAAGATGCCATTGATTTAGTTTCTGTTACTGTGGATCAGTTGTACTTGCTGGAGAACTTCATGTGAATGAAAATTCATTTCTTTTAGTTAGATGCTTAGATCTTCACAGTGTGTTATATTTGAGGTACACTTCAACTTTTTTTTACCAGAAACACTCTTAAGAATATAGTATGAATTTTTAAAAAATAATTGAACCAATTAAAACATAGGATTCTATTTTTTCAGCTACAGTATAGTAATTTTGACAATAATCTAATCGTTTAATGTTAATATACATTTTTCCGTGTGGATGTCATGACTTATGAAGCTTTTGTGAACTAGCACAATAAGCCATTAACTGTACTTTCCAAATTTTCTGTTTTTTATTGTCAAATGCTCATCTGTAGAGTTTTGCCTGACCAGTCTGTGCCTTTCTTTATGCCTGCCTGAGGCATTATTCATTCGTTTATTTAGC